AGACAAGGAAAGGTACATGGATAGACAAGGACAAAGAATTTTCAGTTCTGAATCAACGCCATCTCGTGTTTGGATCCGCGAACTAACCACTCGTTACTCGGATAACAGAATATAAACAGAGGTATTAGACAAGGAAAGCACTAGTGTGCGACAAGGACAGAGAGAGAACGTTTCCTATTGGCTGGCGGGCCGGTAGACTCTATCTTGCTGGGCCTCAATCAAGTCGGTCGGTGAAAAATCATTAATAACTCAATAATTACGATCATTTTGTGAACTTTTAGTATTGAAGAATGAAGTGTGAACCTTCAGCAACTTTCTCATATAGTTTTTAGTGCTCTAAACCCTTCCAATAATTAGTTATTAACAATTTTAGTACCGAATGTCGGGAACGATACCGCGTATCGTCAAGTACCTTTACGGTTTTTCAATAATTTCACAGCTTTGTACTAAATTCTCGCGCAACTAACTATACGCATCTGAAAGATAACTCTTTTGGCTACATTCTCATATAAATTTTATCGACATATTCGGTTTAGTTTAAGAGTTATTAAATATTATATGGGTGAGTCTCCTATTCATCATGCTCGAGTACAGTCAACTGTTACAAACAATTACTAATATCAATTAAACCACTTCACTCACGTCTACGAATCAAATTGCAGAATATAGACAAATGTTTATTCTACATTCTTCATGCTTTAAAGTGCATAATTAGGCACGCATTTCGATTGAACTAACGAATATGGGTTACACTTGAATGCGACGGGTGTAATACTCACAGAAAGAATGCTAAATAACTATGAAAGTACAAGGGCTATATTAATAAAAATTATATGAGAATGTAGATAAAGGAGTTACCTTTAATATGCATATAGTTATTTGTATGAGAATTTAGTAGAAAGTTATGAAATTATTGAGAAACTGTAAAGGTATGCGGTATCGTCCCCGACATCCCGTACTAAAATTATTAATAACTAATTATTGAAAGGGTCTAGTGCATTAAAATCTATATGGGAAAGTTGCTAAAGTTCCACACTTCATTCTTCAATACTAAAAGTTCACAAATTCTCCGTAAATAATGAGTTACTAAATATTTCTTGTGTGAGTACTTCACACGTCGCATTCAAGCGTAACGGATTTCTGTCATTTTCATGAATATGTACGATTAATTTTGTACTTTCAAGCATGTAGAATATAGTACAGGCCTTTTTCTACATTCTACAACAATTTTTAAATCTGTGTATAATGTAGTTTAATAAATATTAGCAATTGTTTCTAATAGTTGACTATACACGAATACGATAAATAGGAGACGCTCCCATAAAACGTTTAATAACTCCTAAACTACACCGAATGAATTAATAAGAATTACATGAGAATACAGCTAAAGGAGCTACCTTTCAGGTGCATATAATTATTTGCATGAGAATTTAGCAGAAAGCTGTGAGATTATTGAAAAACTGTAAAGGTATGCGGTATCGTCCCCGACATCTCCTACTAAAATTATTAATAACTAATTATTGAAAGGGTCTAGTGCATTAAAATCTATATGGGAAAGTTGCTAAAGTTCCACACTTCATTCTTCAATACTAAAAGTTCACAAATTCTCCGTAAATAATGAGTTACTAAATATTATATGGATGAGTATTACACTCGTCGCATTCAAGCGTAACCCATGTTCGTTATTTCAATCGAAATGCGTGCCTAATTATGCACTTTAAAGCATGAAGAATGTAGAATAAACTTTTGTCTATATTCTGCAATTAGTTTGGTAGCCATAAGTGGTGCGGTTTATTAGATATTAGTAATTGTTTGTAACAGTTGACTGTACTCGAGCATGATGAATAGGAGACTCATCCATATAATATTTAATATCTCTTAAACTAAACGGAATATGTCGACCAAATTAATATGAGAACGTAACCAAAAGAGTTATATTTCAGATGCGTATATTTAGTTGCGCGAGAATTTAGTACAAAGCTGTGAAATTATTGAAAAACCGTAAAGGTACTTGACGGTACGCGGTATCGTTCCCGACATTCGGTACTAAAATTGTTAATAACTAATTATTGGAAGGGTTTAGAGCACTAAAAACTATATGAGAAAGTTGCTGAAGGTCCACACTTCATTCTTCAATTCTAAAAGTTCACAAAATAATCGTAATTATTGAGTTATTAATGATTTTTCGCAGGCCGACTTGATTGAGGCCCAGCAAGATAGAGTCTACCGGCCCGCCAGCCAATAGGAAACGTTCTCTCTCTGTCCTTGTCGCACACTAGTGCTTTCCTTGTCTAATACCTCTGTTTATATTCTGTTATCCGAGTAACGAGTGGTTAGTTCGCGGATCCAAACACGAGATGGCGTTGATTCAGAAATGAAAATTCTCTGTCCTTGTCTATCCATGTACCTTTCCTTGTCTAACTCGTTTCTCTAGTGCTATCCTTGTCTATCCGCATTCCTTTCCTTGTCTAACTCATTTCTGTATTGCTAAATATGTAAGTACTTACTTATACGTACCGTGCCCAACACGACTATGTATATACGCTTATTCTATACGTTATTAAACAATATACGGTGTTAATTAGTTAATAAAGAGATTATAAGTCGCTAAATTAATTCTAGAGTATATAGGTGAGGGGGAATTTTTCCAAGCCTTACAGAAACTAAAGATTGAATCCTTCTCGAAAGGTTTATTCAAAAATAATTTCGTTCAATAACTTTATTAAGAAATAATTCTTTAAAAAAACCTAATTTTCAATTCGAATTACAATATTACCCTCTAAAACAAGTACAACGATAAGCAATCGTGCGATAATCAAGTCGCTCATCTTCGCGTTCGATAGTAGTGCTCCCGAATCTAAAGCGTAGTGAGCTTATCGATAATCGTTCTGACCATACAGATTCTTTCTTCGACCGACTATCTTGATCGATCCTTTTGTCTGACGTAAATTCCAGGATTACCATAGCCATACAGAGTGATATTTGTAAAAAGAAGAAAAGTATACATTTGCAAGTTTTATTTACAGCCGTGGATTAAATATGAGTTACACTTCTCAGAAGTAATCTTGCTGTGAGATTAATGTAAAAAAGAATAAAACGAACCTTTTTTATTTCTTTATCGCTCCGACCGTCTAAGTGACGATCGCTATCGGTTGTTGAATTAGGGAAATACGCGGTTGTGTAAATCATGATTCTTTCGTCTTGTTTTTTCATTTTGACATGATTTTTGATAATGGAAGTTTTTCGAATGTAATATATAATATTTTACAATTTTATAAGCATTAGTACAGTTCTTAATTTTTATTCACACAATCAATTACATACTATGTTTTCATATTATATAATTTTTATTTATACCATTCGATTATAAAACATTGTTTCAATTTTTGCTTAAAGCGAGTTCGAGGTAGAAATCAATTGCATACGGCAACACAATATGACGATTTTCCTTTACAATCAATTATCATAAATGTGCATTTTATTCAGATATATTTTAATTAAATTACGCGTTCTGCATTATCAATTAGAAATTAATGAATCAGTTGGAAAGTGCAAACGCATAACGATGCATCATAATTATATAACATTAATTAACAATTATGTAACAATATATGTATACACGATTACGACATCCGATATAATTTACGCGCGTGTCAATTTTACGAGGCGGCAAGCATACGCATGTCCATATTCGTTTCGATAAGATTAATGGTAACAGAATTCTTAATCAGTTATTTGTCGCTGATATATTGACTGATAATATGTTCTAAAAGTACTTGAAATTTTCAATTTCAATAAATCCTA